GTCGTTGTCGTCGTAGTTGTTGTCGTCGTCGTCCGGCGTCGTCCGAAGACACATTGGTTTTCGCACTCTAACTTTAGTTTAAGTGAATGGATCTCTATGAAATTTTCCCATAAGGTTCAATACCACATAAGGAAGGTTGGGATTGATTTTGGGGGTTATGGTACCAACAGTTAAGGAATTAGGGGCCCAAAAAGGGCCAAAAATAAGCATTTTTGTAACTTCCAGACATAACTTGTGTGTTAGTGTATGGATCTCTCTGACATTGTACCACAAGGTTCCATATCACAAAGGGAATGCTGGAATTGATTTTGGGGGTAATTGCTTCAAAATTTTAGGAATTAGGGGCAAAAAACAAGCATTTCAAGCATTTTTCTAATTTCATGACAATAACTTGTGTGTAAGTGTATGGATCTTTCTGAAATTGTACTACAAGGTTCCATATCACAAAGGAAAAGCTGGAATTGAGTTTGGGGGTAATTGCCCAAAACGTTTAGGAATAAGGGGCCAAAAATAATCATTTTTCTAGTTTCCAGACAATAACTTGTGTTCAAGTGTCTGGATCTCTCTGAAATTGTACTGCAAGGTACCATACCACAAAGGGAAGGCTGGGATTGATATTGGGGGTTTGCCTCAAAATTTTAGGAATTAGGGGCCAAAAAGGGGCAAAAAACATGCATTTTTCTAATTCCAGGACAATAACTTGTGTGTAAGTGTATGGATCTTTATGAAATTGTACAACAAGGTTCCATATCACAAAGGGAAAGCTGGGTATGAGTTTGGGGGTAATTGCCCTAAACGTTTAGGAATTTGGGACCAAAAAAGGGGCCTAAAGACAAGTATTTTTCTAGTTTCCAGACAATAACTTGTGTTCAAGTGTATGGATCTCTCTGAAATTGTACTGCAAGGTACCATACCACAAAGGGAAGGCTGGGATTGGGTTTGGGGGTAATGAATCATAAGGGGGTTCAAAAAATTTGGGGGGAGGGATTTTTTTCTCCTTTTTTTCCTTTTTTTTTCTTTAAAATTTTCCATTTTAAATTGGTTATTTCTGATTTATATATAAAAGCAAATAATAATGATATGGTTTGAATAGGTAAATTAAAATTTTTTAAGTTCTTAGACCACATTCATTCTGTGTCAGAAACCTATGCTGTGTCAAATATTTAATCACAATCCAAATTCAGTGCTGTATCAAGCTTGAATGTTGTGTCCATTCTTGCCCCAACTATTCAGGGTTCGACCTCTGCGGTCGTATCAAGCTGCGCCCAGCGAAGCATTTTATTATGATATAAAATATGTATTACCTATATCTTAATGGCAATGGTTAACATATAAATATATTGTATTTATAAATGCATTTTTTTTAACATTTTTGTCCTTAGTAAACGTCGGGGATTTATGACAAATCTTTAGCAATCTCTATTAAGTTTATTCACATCTTTTCAGAGCATAGGTCAATTAAGAATTTGACATATTGTACAGACACCTGTTTATTGGTGATGACTATATATTGACCTCTAGAAGTCTTTGGGGTTTTGGGGTTGCTGTCTTGTTAACGTATATATTTGTAACACTCCCAAACGTGTCCTTCCCCCCAAACGTGTCCGATTCCCCCAAACGTGTCTATTCTCCCCAAACGTGTCCGTAATTTCCAATATTCCCCAAACGTGTCTGATTTCATAACCCCAAACGTGTCCGATAATTGTTATTCGCCAAAACGTGTCCACTTTTAAACGCCAGAACGTCTCACGTCTTTTAGCGCTAAACGTATGTCCTAAATGAAATCAATAACGTTTACGGCAATTCTATGATGGGGGCACAGGTGATGAAGTTGTCATTTATTAGCATTAGTAAGTTCAATATAAAAAAGAAGATGGAGTAGGATTGCCAATGAAACAACTCTCCACAAGAGACCAAATGACACAGAAATTAACAACTATAGGTCACCGTATTTTTAATGATTATCATAATTGTCGGTTTTTAATGATTATCATAATTGCCGGTTTTTAATGATTATCATAATTGCCGGTTTTTAATGATTACATGTTATCATAATTGCAAATTTAATCTGTAACATATGAATTAACTTTTGACTGAAATTGCTTATTGTCCAGTTGCAAGTATTTCATACTCATTTAGAGCGAACATGCAAATAATTCTAGAGTTGAATTAATCGTTTACTATGTAAATTATTTTGTACTATTAAACTCCGATGATGCCTTTTATATTAATCGGAATATTGCACGGCGGGCTTTCAGCAGAACTGACTTCCCGTTTGTCAACAGTTCTAATACTTTATAAGCTCTTCAGATCATAAACGGGTTATCTGGTTTTTTAATAAATTTTTAGGTTTTCAGCATCACTAAAGGCACACGAACAAGAGAAATAACGTCCAGTGCCAAATATTTCATGCATTATTTGAACGACTGCATATACTGTAGATAGGTTCTACAAGTGTATTATCATACCGGGAATTTAGGATTCGGCCAAAATTTTTACGGTTATTCAGGATTTAACACTAGTTGGGATTTTCATGTAAAAAATTAAAGAGCGAGTAAAAACCAATTTTTTATGACCTCAGTAAGAAACTACTTCAATCTCCGATATGTAATACGATGCCGTTTTAAATAATATGTGCGGAAATTAAAAAAAAAATGTTGCCTTCAAAAATACAACTTATGGCACCATGAAAGAGTGAAATGGTACAAATGTTTTAATGCGCAGAGAAAAAGACATCTCCCTACACGAGGTATCTGGTTTAATATCTACAATTTAACTGAGCATGGCTGCTTACATTTACATCCAACATAGCCGAACGGAAAAGAAAATAAGCTTGATATGGACACGTTTGGGAAATTGGACACTTTTGGGCGTTTATACAAATGACAAGTTTTGGAGCCCTTTTTTTCAACATGTTTTGCAGTTCAGTGACGTCGATGTGGACACGTTTGGGGGAATCGGACACGTTTGGGGGGAAGGACACGTTTCTGAGTGTTACATATTTATTCATACTATCAGAGTATTTACATTTGCAATCCCCCCCCCCCCAAAAAAAAAAAAAAAAAGATGCGGTATGATTGTCAATGAAGCAATTATCCATCCAAGACCAAAAGACCAGGTTGTAAACAACTATTAGACACTGCACAGCCTTCAACATTGAGCAAAACCCATACCGTATAATAAGATATAAAGTTCCCGGCATGACAAAATGTAAAAACTATTTAAAACAAAAAACAAAATGCCTAGTGGATGTTAAAAACAATAAAAAAAAACAAAAAAAACTATGGCATGGAAAAAGATATGACAATAAGACAACTGGTACTAAACCATTTTTTTGTAATGAATAATCTTTATTGGCACAACATACATGAGTAAAGGTATACAGAATGACATATTCCCCAAAAGAAAGGTGTACAAAATGACATTCACAAATTTTAAGATGTACAAATGACATATTCACAAAGATGTGCAAAGTGACATATTCACAAAGATGAACAGACATATTCACAAAGATGTACAAAGTGACATTCACACAAAGATGTACAAAATGGCATATTCACAAAGATGTACAAAATGACATATTCACAAAAAGGTGTGCAGATTGACCTCCGAGCATTAAATTTACATCAATGATATTCCATATCATCAAAGGGGTGCTGACAACTGTGATGGTGATAACTTCGGGAATAAAACGTCCACAGCAGAGGAAACGAAAATAGTTATATAATACCTAAAGAGAAACTCGTCATTTTTTCTAAGCTATTTTGTTGTACTAGAATCAAAGTATATTTGAAAAAATTTTTTTTGTATTAGTTCACCTGGCCTACATGGCCTACCATGTGATGAGAAAAGCTCGTTTGGCCATGTAGGCGAGGTGTCATCCGTCGTCATTTATTACTTATCATATTTTCTCATACGAAACTTCTAGGCCAATTGGAACCAAACTTTACCACTATCATCCTTGGGGTTTCTAGTTTTAAACTGTGTCCGATTATCCCGTCTGGCAACCAAATTGGCCCCTTTCTTAGATAAAAAGAAATCCGACATGGACAGAAATGTTCAGAATGAAAAGATTTACCTACTATTCATTTTGACCAAAACAGTAAGACTACTATTGATAGGATTTATTGCCCTTAGATTATTTTTTTCGCCATTTTTGCTATTTTGACTATTATACTAGATAAATGGCAAGCATGATGAACATGACATGATTAACAAGAAAATAAAATTGAGTTATTTCCCTTGAATGAAGATTTTTATCAATTGTGTGCGTTTTTTTTTATATTATTGTTGGAGAAATTATATTAGATAAAGAGAAACTGTAATTAGCAAATATGACCAGGAGAACAAGACCTACTAACAAAAGTAATATGTCAACATGGCTGAAATCATTTGTAAACTATTTTAGCAGTCATTGCCCTCATGACCGCGACCGTGCGAGACCCTCATGGGTAGTCATGGTCGTTAAACACCCCTTAGTAGTTATTGCCCTAGAATGACGATATTATATCCAATATTGTGTGTTTTTATAGTAGGTAGAGAGAAAAAGTAAAAATCAAAAATTATCTGCAAGATCTTCCAAAAAGTCACATGGCATTAATCATCTGTTGACTTCTTATAGGTGTGATTAACCTTGAATAACGATTTTGACCTATTTTTTTAAGGAATGGCCGGAAATATTATATATAAGTATATATCAATAAGTCTTGTATAATGTAATTTTGTTTGATAAATATAGTATTTTGTAAGCAAAATCATCTTATCATTAACAAAACTCAATTTTATACTTTTCAATTTATCAAATTAAATAATCTTAATATTAAAGGTAGTTTAATATTTGTCATTTCAAAAATCCAATTATTCACTGAACCTTTCTTCTTTTCAAAGGAAATGCATAGGTAGCAAGGCAGGGTTAATATGGTAAAAAAATGGTATCTAAATTGATATAATTGTTTGAATTTTTAAGTCTAACTCCTAATTGGTTATTTCTTCCCTTACAGATATTTTACAGTGATTCTAATGATACCGATTACAAGTCCTGTAGTGGAAACGAATCAGATACGAGAAAAAATGCACTCAAGCAGAACGGTTCTAATCCCCGGCCCACCACCCAGGAGAAAGACCAGAACTTTGAAATTCCAAACGATCTTCTTGGTGAATTCACAGCCTTGAAGAAAGCTACAAATTTGGATACAGCCAGTCTAATGAGAAAACTAATCCATGATTATGCACAGTAAGTTTGCTTTATAACTATATATTGTTTACAAAAGGGGTGACAGATACCAAGGGACAATTCAAAACTCAACGTCATGGCCAAAAACGGAAGGCGAGATATGAAAATAAGAAATGGTATAATTGAAAATGAAACAACTGTCCAACAAAGGTCATCATATGACCTTTAACATTTAACACCGACCACAATATCGTATAACAAACTACAAAAGGTCCCATGGTAACAATTTATGGAACAACCCAAAGGAGAACATTATCAGCAGATTGATTGACTTACAACCCTATCATACAGGGAACCGAAGACACTTGATGAGGTTTAATATAGTTGGTTCCCTCTAGTTGATCCCCCCATATGTCTATGTACCTGTCAGTTTAGGTTTATTATGTTATATATAGACCTATTAATTATTGAAAAAAGTAAGCTGACCTCTTGGGTCGTTGGTTGGTATCTGTCATATATATTTTTTCGCTTATTCATGTTATTGGTTTAGCATAAAACAGGCCGTTTTATTAAGTTGATATCTGTCATATAAATTTTTTCGCTTATTGGTTTAGCATAAAACAGGCCGCTTTAATTGGGTTTCTTGCATTACATTTTGTCATACCATTTCCAGTTCCTTTTATAGCTGTCTATACGGTATGGGGTTTGTTCATTTCTGAAGTCCGTATGGTGACCTACATAAACCTCAGTTGGTCTCTGCATGGTGGATAGTTGTCTCATCGGCACTCATGCCACATCTTCTTATTTATAATAAGTATAGATAGAGAGTATTTTGAAACTTAAAATGTTCATCAATTTAGATCTGAAAATGAGGTTAATGGGTGAAATAGTCAATTGACCTCTTATAGGAGTTATAAACCTTGAAACCTAATTTTATCCTTTTTTTGTTGCAGAATTTATAATAGATAAAGATAAATTTTAAAATGCAAAAATGTTCAGCATGATAAGATCTACAAGTCGACATGGTCAAAATCGTCAACTGATTCCTTATATGATTTACTGCGTTGCAAGATGATTTTTTTTTTTGCATTTTTGTTATATTCAACGCAAGACAAGAATGTAAACTCTCCATGCATCGAACCGCTCACACAGTTATAAATAAACGTCATCAGACAATTCATAGCATCATTTCTTACAGAATTGTGCTCAAATAAGTAGAGCATAGTTCTCGCAACAATCATATACTAGTATTCAAATCAGGACAAATATGGCGTCGTCAGTTTATTTTCAACTTATGAGTTTGAATGCCCCTTTAGTATCTTTCGCCTCTCTTTAACTACCAATTTGATGGGTAATTCTAAAGTTCGTAGTAACGGGCGCAATGAATTAAATTGTGCCCAGTGCTTTCAATAGAGATATCTAACATGTCTGGACAGTAATCGTAATGCCTATTGAAACCAAGATGTATTTGCACAAATGATCATTATGGACGATTAACCCTTCCTAGTCGTAATCAAGTATGAATCTTCATCTTAAAACCATACCATCGAGAATATAGATATATTTTTGTTACATATATGCAGAATCTTCTTTAACAATTTTTTAAACATTAAAGATCTGGAATAAGTTTCATGAAAAATCGTATGACCAAAATTGATCGTCTTACACAATTCAATATACTTACGATCGATTTTTAGTCGTAAGATTTTTTTGTGAAACTCATCCTTGGTGACAAACTTTTCCAGTCTCTAATCCTCTGTTTCTTTTTAGGAGTTCCGGTTGTGAAAAGAATACAAGTGGATCCAGATTAACAAGTCAGCTCTTTGATGTTTCCATTCAAAGTTCGGAAAAGGACAAAACTGGGCTGATAAATTATTACGACGAGGACCGACCCGTTAGCCCAGGGGAAATAATTCGAAGTGATATCAAGAAGCAAAGGAGATATGACACCACTCCAACCGACATACCAGTGCGTAAAGCGGTTGAAGTTCAGAGAAATCCTTCTCCGGCAAGGATATATTCTGCAGAACCTTACTATTGGAGTGACGAGAACTACGAACCACCGTACAGTGGTGAAAGTACATTTTCAAATGGGTACACAAACTCAATGAAGGTTCCCACAGTTGTAAGGGAACAGGACTCTGACAGCAGCTGCGAAAGTCCTAGTTTTGCCGAGAACAACCGACCCAATTCAAGACAGAGTATGTACGCTCAAAGCATCGGTTCCGAAGGTTCAGGAAGAAACGTAACATCGGAACCAAATGTAGAATATACATACGTCAACGAGTCGCTAAAGTCAAAATCACAAGACCCGTATGTTACAGCGACACCTATGATGGAAGATGGCAGTGTTTCATCAGCTTTCCCACTGGTGGCAAGTCTGTGTGATGAAAATGGCGTAATTATTTCTCCGAAGCATGACGATGAGGTACTAGAGAGAGAAAATAAAATAGAAGACATGAAGTTTTCGCAAGAAATTATTTCTCAAACTGATGCCCATATGGCCATGCAGGCCTTAAATCCACACGGCATCACTGCAAAACTACACAAGGCAAGTGGTAAAAATAATTCCAAGAAAGGACAGATGAAGTTGATTGCCGAGAACACATCCCATCATGGTGTTTATACCAGCGTGCTTAAACTACCTTGGAGTAGACGTACTCGTACTCCAAAAAACGACCCTGCACAGGGAGTAAAAAACCCGGATAAAGTTAAGAAACAATTGGTGTCATGTGATAATTTCATACCTCCTGACATTGAAGATCTACATGAATCTGGTTTATCACCAGTACCAATAAAAATGGAACCTGTAGATGAGGAGGGATCCGAAACACCAGGTACCCCACAGCTTCAGCAGCCAGTTATGTTGATGCCTGTACCAGGTATCCCCTCATCACAAAATGGCATCTTTGTTCCAGCCAATAATATGCCTTTATACTCAGAAGCACATAATAATCAACCAATGATGATGGTTTATCCAAATGCCTCGTTTATGAATTTAGAACGTCCCACACGAAAGAGAGGTAGACCACCGAAAGTGCCGGTACTCGCTCGAATGCTTTCAGATACAAGTAAAGTACCACGGTTTGACTTCCCGGTAACAAACTTTTTTCCACAATTTACACCATGTCAACAACCGGCCATTGTTTTGAATGTTAACAATATGATGAATACCGGAAATGTTGCCAACGCAACTAACAACACTAGTGCGAACGTAAACACAACGACTGCTACTAACGTTGTGGAAAATACAGTGGAACAAAGAGGACAAAGTAATGAACAGGAAAATGCGAACAAAGAGGAAGCAAACGCTACTGATATGATCACATCGGAAGCCATGACACTCAATGTTCCAGTTCAAGCTCAAGTTTACAATGTGACGAATGGTAATTCAAAAGAAATGACAGACATATACAGCATGGCGGAACAAAAGGTTAAGGAAACCTTTGCATCAAAAACTGTTAAGGAAAACTTTGCATCGAAAACATCTATGACTACAACTACGTCGATTGCAAACGTACAGAGTGGAGCTATCTACCAAGAAATGATTCTATCATCTAAAACACTTGTCAATGTTCGCCCAAGAAAACGACAAAGTACAACTGAACTTTTAAAATCTAAATCTACCCCAACGAATGACTTCATCTGTACATCGTTTAAACTTCGCAATGTAAACAAACAAGAAAAGGAGAAGAAGAAAACACCATGGATACCTGGAATGAAACGAAGAGGCCGACCACCGAAGAAGAAATTATTTAACATGATGGAAGGTGAGGTGGAGAGCATCTTACATCCTGATAATTTTATGCCTGCTACTATTCACCATTTTCCCCCAGGCGTTGTGGCAAGTACCGTCCAGCCGCCAGAAGTATATAGTCCAGGCATGACAGCCGGTCAGCATATCATTACGCCTCAGATATCTCCAATAAGCGTAGCTTCAACACCACAACAACGAAATGAAATGGACGTAAATGGGTCACCCACTCCAACAGATGGTTCTTCGACTAACGATGACAATAAACAAACGGACGACGAAAAAGAGGAAAACGGTAAAGACATGTTCCAACAACTTTTTCACTGCAAGATTTGTAACGAAATAGTTCCGGTAGAGAAACGAGAGGAACATCGTGAAAGGCATGTCCAAATGAAATACTGTTGTAACAAGTGTGAATCGGTAAAAATGTCTTACGTCCAACGAGACGATGTCGAGAAAGACGAAAGCATCGATAACCTTTTCAAATGCAACGAATGCAAAACAGACGACACGTCAGACGCATCTTCTGTTTCACTTGTTTGTCCACTGTGTAATGATCGATTCCTGGAGTTTTCGTCCCTTTCCAGCCATAAACAAAACGTTCATCAAAACTCAACCGGCAAAGACTTTAGTTGTACAGAATGTGACAAGGTCTTTGTTAATTACCAAAAATTTAAACTTCACCAACAATTGTGCCACGCCACACGTTATCACTCATGTCCGTATCAGAATTGTCAAAAGATTTACACGTCTCCCTCAAAATTACAAAACCATATACAGAAACGCCATGAAAACAAACTTCATCTGAGATGTATTTTTGAAGGATGCAACGAGAAGTTCTTTAATCATGCTTCGTTAAAAGAGCACATTCAAACAAAGCATTACAGTGTTAAACGATACACTTGTTCAAAACCCGGATGTGACGAAGATTTCACGTCGGAACGAGATTTAAAGTTTCATCTTCTGCTTCACAACGACAGTGACATGTGTACTTATGAATGCGAAATATGTGACTACCGTTGTCATCAACAACATGTCCTTGAATGGCACATGAAAAATCTCCATCCCGAAACAGTCAGCAAAGACGATGATGGTGGGTCGAAAAATGACAATCAAGACAATTAGTGCTACTTAGTTACCATGGTTATGGCTTACCCAAGACACTTATAGGCAAATCAAAACAGTATTGGTCCTTAGAAGCAATTGGTTCCTAGGAACGTAAAGAAACATGATATCTTTACAAAATGCTCAAAAAGTTATTTTTATGAAGTATCAATTAAAAGATGTAAATAATTATGCAGATCTCTTAGCGTGATGCCAGATAGAAAAAGGTGTACATGGCCGCAAATAGTTAGTACATAAGAATTGTCACGTTTCTCTGATGATTATTGACAATTTTGTGAGGGAATTGTTACAAAGTTGCAGGTAGTCCCCATATACTGAAGATAAAAAATTATCAAAATATAAAAAAGATGAAATCCTACCTACCTACCTAATTTTCGGTGAACAATGACAAAATCGAAGGTCTCCCCATATCTTCAATGTAAACAACAATTATCAAAATTCATAGATAATTCCTATCTACCTACCTACCCTATTTTTCTTAACAAGGCAACCCTAAACACACATACTTTTAATTTTTCCAAATGGTAATGAATAAGGAAACCCTAGACACATATGTGTTTTGTTTTGTTTGGTCAAAGCATATTCTGTGTGTCATGAAGTCCTCATTATATAAAACAACTTCAACTCATTACTCCTATTTAGATGAAAGCACTTTTACAATTTCTTAAAACAACGAAGACATGCCTGTTATACATGTATATAATCCTGTCTTTGTATTGGTATTTTACATGGTAAAGTGCTTCTTAAGGCTTTCCATATCGACCACGTCGTCACAAAACTTGAGGAGATATGTAGATTATGTAAACATACATAGCTGCCTTCCTTTTGAGCTCGCCTGGGTTATAGGGCTACTGTAGTGTACTCTATTGCCAACGCTTGGCGTCCGTCATAGTCCGTTAACTTTTACAAAGATCTTCTCTGAAACTACATGGCCAATTGTAACCAAACTTTGATACGATCATCCATAGAGTATTTAGCTTAACATTTGTTGCCAATGAACCCGTTGGTCAACCAACATGGCCGCCATGGCTAAAATTTGAACATAGGAGTAAAATTCAAGTATTATAGAAATAAGGAGATTTGGCATGATAGCCAATAAAACGATGATCAAAACTTTTACTGCATAGTAATAGACTATAATTATGAAAAATATGAAAAATACTGTTATAACAGTAGATAGGGAAAATCGGACGGGCTAACATTTTCAGAATATTAAGATCTGCCTGTTGTCCTTTTTGATCAAAATTGTCAGACGACTCCGCATTGGAATTATTGCCCTTAGTTAACTATTTTTACCATTGTTTTGCGTTTTGGCTATAATCTTGAAAACTATAATACTAGATAGAAAGAAGCATTAAATCCCACCAAAAAGTAATATAAAAAATTACGATATCCAAGAAAAATTCAAAACAGAAGTCCTTTATTAAATGGCAAAATCAAAAGCTCAATCACATCAAACGAATGGAAAACAACTATCATATTCCTTACTTGGTACAGGCATTTCCTTATGAAGAAAATGGTGGATTAAACCTGGGTTTATAGCTAGCTAACCCTCTCACTTTTATGACAGTCGCATAGAATACTATTATATTGACAACAATGTGTGAGCAAAACAAACAGACATCATAGGTAAAAATGTCAAAAATTAGGATACAGCACTCAACATTGTGTTATAATCTTAATCACTATACAAACAAATAACTATTCTTAATTAACAAAGAAAAGCAGAATGGCATATAGACAAAGTACACAAGCAAAAATGAAAGACAAGAATACAAAATGACCATAGCACAACAACACAATGGCGGGATGTATAAATACCGAACCACACCAAAAGGATATCACCAAAAAATGGACAAAACAGTAAAGGTCAAAATGTACAAAGACACATAAAAGAACACTATAACACGTAATTAAAATGATAAACAACGTCAGTACCTATAATCTATACTTCAAGACCATCATGTATTATTGTGAAGTTGATACAGAATATTTATCAACAAGGTCTTAGTATCTTCCGATGACCTTTTCTAGAAAAAGGACGAGACGTCTTTTGGCATAACCCTGGTTAATCAACTTTCTGCTCAGACACTGGTGACGTTTTATAAAGTCTGAGTAGCAGCTATAAGCTCTTGAATACCGAATGAGTTGGAAAATGTATATCCCATATGCAGGTGAAGTTGGTATATTGCTGCTAAGGTGGGGACAATTTATAATTTCAAAATTAAAACCGTCTCGTTTGTCGTAGATTCATGTACTAAGATGACCGCTTATGTCAAATTCGAGATATAAGTCTAAAAATGAGGCGGAGGAAGCCGTGTCTGTTGTTTCTTTGTAATTTCTAGTTCTGGAGGATATATTAATGGATCCCAATCAGAAAAGTTTGGATTGTTAATAGAAAGAACATCATCAATATATCTGAATGTGAAATTAAATAATCTGGCTTATTTGATCTTCTAGTTTTTGACAAGTGTCTGAAGGAACTCCGACTCATATGAATATAAGAAGAGGTCGGAAAGGAGAGGCGCAAAGTTCGTTCCCATATGAATGCAGATAATTTGTTGAAAAAGTCTACCTCCAAATTTGTTGTCAATGCGAACTCGAGCATACTGATCACTTGTTCCTCTGTGTAGCATGTTTTACCTTTTTGTTCACTATTAACAAAATGTGCCATACGGTATCCCAAATCAATAAATGTATAGCGTATGCTACAATTTTTATATTGAAAAGCATTCTGGATTATTTCTTTTAGATGATTTTTCAATTTCACATGGGGAATGGTGGTATTTAGTAGCTAGTGATATACGCACATTTCCCATTCATTATCACGTTATAGAGAAAGTCCAAATAACTGTCCATTCCTGGGAAATAATGGAGCGGAGGCCCAGAGGGCCGACGCCCATTATTTCCCAGGAATGGACAGTTATTTTGGACTTTCGCTAACTTAAAATACACCTTAAATATTAAGAACAGATTTTTAGATCATAAAATTTAAAGAATTTTATTTCATTTTGTAATGGTTTTCTTTTCATTTTCCCCATGGTGTACCCAATAATCCACAGGCCAAATTTAAGATCAAGCTGACCATCTACTCACTTAACAAGTATTTATGAACAGTAAAATAATTACTGTGAAAAGATCTTGAATAAAGTTCATCCAGATTTGTATATGTAAGAGAATGATAATCCCTTTCTTCATGATTAAGTACGAGCGTTAGCGAGTACTTACCATGAAGTAAAGGATTATCATTCTCTTACAAACTTAGAATATTGTAAAGTGCTCAAGGCTCAAATGGTCTCTTGATTGGTTGTATTCAAGAATTAGTTCCTTTGTCAGTGTAAATTAAATGTTTATAACTGATGCATGACTTCATTTTCAGCACTTCATTTATGGGTTAATTTTAGTGATGTAAGGACTTCCTTATAATTTGGGATATATTTTTAAAAATGCGTTGTAGACATTAAGTGACACAACAGTACAAAGAAAAGGTAGGAATTGTATATGTTTCCTGATTGTGAGTATGAATGTAAATCATGTAATATTTTATTAAGGAGTTATCCTTTTTTTTTTACAGTTTAAATCAATAAATGCATTTGATTTACAACAAATTTTATTTCACAGCCAATATTTTGGTCCGGCTTTTTAAATCAAATACTATTTCATTATGTCAGGAAAATGTTCTAATAAAATGCCTTTAAAAGTTTTAAATATATTAAAAACTTAAATCAAATTCCTTATTAAATATTTTTTATTTTATCGGAATATTGGAAATAACTATTCTTCCAAACCGCTGGTTCAGTAATCAGAGTTTCGAAAAGCTAAAGATTAAGGTTATTTTTTATTTTAAAACTTTTTTCTTTTTTTTCTGTTTGCATTGCTGTGATATCGTTTTTTTTTAGTAATTTGAAGTAATTAATATTTTCATAATAACATTAAAGCTACAAATTTTACTGCACCAGTAAACTTCAACTTATTTTGATTTTTTTGTTTGTTTCACAATTCAACTTTTAGTCAGTTTCAATCACAAATTCTTTCAATCTGATAAATGTGCTTCGGGGTAGTTGTAACTCATTTATAGAAACCCTTTGTTTTGAAATGTAAATAGACCCAAATAATAGGATAATACCTTACTTAGAACATGATTTACATTCATTCTTCACAATTAAGAGACACCAAATCCTACAATTTCATTGGTCGAGAGCACTTTGCTATATTCTAAGTGTTTGAAGTCATTGGCGTTACGTCCCCTTTAGAACTATTTACATGGGTGAACACTTTTTTAAGAAATTGCCCATGGAAATAGCCAAAGGGCAAAACGTCCGGATGAATGAAGATGGACAATAGAAAATTTCTCCCCATTCCAGAAAATAATGGAGAGTTTGAACAAAAGATTTACGTCACAGGTGTATTTTAACTTTATAAGGACCCCCGATAAGTAGTATTAGTAGCACAAACTTTAGAAAAAAAAAACGAATTTTTTACATATTTTATGCGTCCGAAGCGCTTTTCTGGAGTTACCTTAATCAGGAACGCTCAAAGCCAAATGATTGAAAGCCAAGGTGACACAAGAACCGAAACAGTTGAAGAGCTATAAGACCAAAAAGGACATAAGAATAGTAGCCAAATTCATCGAAAATCAACTTTGTCTGAGGGAGAAACTTTTGATTGTATACATTTCGAACTATGTTTATCTATTATATGTAGTAAGTATTTTTACGTTTTGGGATGTAAAGGGATCAAATATTTCAAAATATTGCACACCATTAGCACGGTAGGTATAGGTTCCTGTTGAGATCGTGTTTTTTCGAGTGTGACCACGTTTGTTTCGTGTGAATATGATAAAAAATGTAAACTAACAGACTTCTTTTTTTGTAAGACATGAAATAGATGCTTAAACTTAATATACAAAATCATACAACGTTAGTTAGTATTGGTGAAAAAAATAAATCATCACACCTACATTAAATTGTGTTCTAAAGTTTTAATTTAGCTTTACAATGTTTCTATTCCAAAATATAGGATAAAGCTATTTTTATACAAGTACCAATGCAAATGTCAAAGGAAATGTATATTTGGAATCTATATATCTTGAGATATATAGACAAAAATTCTTGTTATTGCATTGAGAAGGACATTTTTCAAATAAATTCATTTTGATATGTCCGTGTTTTTTCGAGAGCACTCCGGTTTTTTTTAGTGCGGTCTGGGTTTGATCGAGTGATTAAACAAAATTTCAATGGCTTAAAATGTTATATGTCAGTGCGATTACGTTTAAAACACAATGAAAAGGTTGAAATAAAGTATTTTCAAAGCACGAAACCAATTTACCAGTTTGATAATACTGTAGTATATATACGTAAAACGTACATTCCTAAAAAGCATCGTATATTTGTATATATTATTGTATGCCACATCTTATAAATTGCACGGACACCGGCATTGGTATATATGGATAGATTAACATGTAAATATTGTGGAACTATCCAACAAGTCAACGCCCAAGTACACATGTTGTATCGATCCAAACATAAGTATATCGATGTCGATTCAACCAAATATGGATATCATACAGTAAATATTCGTGTTATAAACAATATTAATGTGAGCACAGACATATATATAAAGAAGAGGATATGTGGTAAGAATGCCAATGAGACAACTATCCACAAGAGTTCAAATGACGAAGATAAAAGTAGATATAGGTCACCGTACGGCCTTCAACAATGAGAAAAGCTTATACCTTAGTCAGCTCTAACAGACCCCAACATGAAAGAAAACAAAACAATTAAAAAGAGAAAACTGACGACCTAAGTTAGACAATACAAAGTACGAATAAAAACAAACGGACATGAACCAACGACAAACACTGAATTACAGGCTCAAACATAAACAAAAAGAACTCGCCAAGGAATTTGTTTTTGTCCCGGCTGATAAAGCTGCTAATAATAATATTGTTTGACGTAAATTTTTCATTGAGGTTTTGCAAAAGGAAATCACCAATTCACCAACATTCCAACTGACTCCATTTTCGGAAAATGACATCTGTAACAAACATAAACTTTTCGCTACTTCTTTACAAGCAGAACCAAATACAATGAAAGTTCCAACTATGTACTGGCTTCCGAAGCTGCACATAACACCCTACAAATATAGATTTATTTCGTCTTCAAGCCATTGTTCCACTACAAAACTGTCTATTCTACTTACTAGCACACTTGGTACAATCAAAAACCTGATAATAAATTGTTCAAAAAAGGCCTTTGAAAATAGTGGAATTAATTACTTTTGGAGTGTAAAAAATTCGTTGGAAGTACTTGATAAATTGCATGCTTATATTGGTGATTTTGAATCTGTTCATAATTTTGATTTTTATACCCTATATATCACTTTGCTTCATATTCTTATTAAGAAAAAGTTCACACACCTAATTAAATAGGCATTTAAAAAGTCAGAATGCGAATATATATGTTCAAACTCTTTTAGGTTATTTTTTAGTAACAACAAACAAAAGAACTATGTCAATTGGACATGCTTTGATACTATAACTGCCCTTGAATTTTTACTAGATAACGGCTTCTTTTAAACTGAGTTTTACTGTGCGTGTTGCTGTGTGTTTAACCCCGCCGCATTTTTGCGCCTGTCCCAAGTCAGGAGCCTCTGGCCTTTGTTAGTCTTGCATGATTTTTAATTTTAGTTTCTTTTATATATTTCGGAGTTTAGTATGACGTCCATTATTACTGAACTAGTACATATTTTTGTTTAGGGGCCAGCTGAAGCACGACTCCGGGTGCGGGATTTTCTCGCTGTATTGAAGACCCATTGGTGGCCTTCGGCTGTTTTCTGCTCTTTGGTCGGGTTGTTGTCTCTTTGACACATTCCCCATTTCCATTCTCAATTTTATCTTGACTTGGGACATGCATATAAAGATTGTGGCGGGGTCAAACATGTTTGTAGGCCCTCAACCCTCCTCTGACTTTGGACAGTGGTGTTACAGCACAAAATAAGAACAAACTGTAAAAATCAGTTACAAATGGCTTTACTCAATAGATCGGTACGAAGCACAGACAAACCATTTAACATAAAAAATATAGATACAAAGTATCGATATAGGAGTAATCGCGGTTACTGAAAGCTAGTTCAAAGCCTGTTACAACTATTAAATAAATAAATCATGTTTTCCCAGACTAAAGTATCAAGCAGTACAACTTTGGATTGAGACGTACGTACATTGTGTATGTTAAGCGGGTATGTGTATTTCTTTACCAGATAATACATCCTAGATGTTTCATTTACTATTTGTCCGGATGATAATTTGTTTTATCGTTCTATGAATGGAAAACAAGAACGATTTTCAAATGCTACTACTGTGATGAGGAGTATGATCAAGCGTTTGACCGGGTCTGATTAGGTGGTGTAACATCTTACAAAGTCTATCCAAATTATTTTTGCAAAGAATTCCGCTCAAGCCGGTGCTAGGGGCCGTCTTAAACCTACAGTGAGGTGAGTTTTTTTTTTGTTTCGTGTTAAAGGCCTCACTATGACTTTGAGATGAAGATCAACAATAAAAGCTTTTGTTTTTTTTTTTTACTGTGCATGTACTAATTTTGTGTCATGGATGGATACCCCATATCCTTTGCTTTTTCTATTATGTTATACTTGGTCACACTGCAATAAAACACCATGATAGCTTCCTTTCCATTAGTTAGCAGTGCTTTAAAAAATGAAACAAATACGGATCTCTGTCTAGACAGTACAATTACCAATGTATATCTACGGAATTCTGCGAAAGACATGAATTATAATACACAAGGTGTACGCTATTGTATACACATTTTTCTTTATTTTTTTTTTCAATAGGAAATAGTTCAGGGACGGATTAAGTGTAGGGGTGGGGGGGGGGGCTCGGCTGGTCCCCGGCCTCTCTTAGAAGGATATTTGTGGCATATTACATTTTTCTGAATTTATAGCTTCCGTCCCTTTGTTTTCTTAACCCTATTTATTAAACTCCAGGTTTCGCCACTGTAATATATATAAATCATAAAATATTATTTATTGTAAAAAATATTGTAGCATGAGATGATATTGAAAAGATTGTGAGTCCCCTGTTCTCGGTTCTAAAGACAGTATTACAAAGAATTCTGCAATTTCTAATATATCTTTATACTGCAATGTGATGGTAAAATTATTTTAGAACAAAACATTATCTTAAAATTGAAAAGGGTTAAATTACAGTTAAAAACTAGAAAAGGTTAGTTTTTAAGCCCAAAAATGCCTTCTCTCCTATTCAGATTTTCTTCGAAAAACCCGGACGTTTTAAATGTTGCTCTCGAAAAAACACGAACAATGTACAACACTGAATTGTTAGTAAACTACAAGGAAATTGTGCGGAGTTTGTGCTCAAAACATGTTTAGTATTCAAAATAAGACGAGCAGTCATGAATAAAACTATTATATACGCGAAATAGCAGTAGATTGATCTGATCGGATGTAATATCATTCGAAAAAACATGATCTCCGCCGGACACTATACCTAACGTGATTAGGAGAACTTATTTTGGTCAATGAATATTTAGACACGGGTAACGGGGACAAACTTTAAACACGTTTGAAGTCTGTGTATAAAGCATATTGTAAAACTGATGATCAGGAACAGTGAAGATACAGGCATGTTATATCCGTTAGTATAATTACATAACCGTTGAATTGAAGAAAAATGATAATAAAATTAAGTGTAAATTGAAAGTAAAAAAACCCAGGTCATTGTAACAGTTACAAATTATGTATCACAATCAGTAAATCTTTGATTTTGTGTTCGAAGTTCTGTCATGCGAATATAATGCTTCCGGCATAATGTGTAGCCTTTGAAGAAAAGAAACTCCGAATTTACATTGGCTGACGTCATTTTACATTACACGCTTACTGTTTATCTGATGGTTATGGATAATTGATTTGGTCTGAGTATTTCGTTTACGCTGAATAAATTCATACCTTGTGGTATTTATATAACAACTACCCCTTCAATCCCAGTTACTTTTACTTTTCCAGTATTTAAAATGACGGATAAGGTTTTTAATCTATTGCAGAAAACCGTTACAAATTATACTGCTGTACAGACAACAATATATGTGTTTTTAACTATTTTGTCAGTGACTTTCGCGGAAATTCTACATAAAGGAGGTGGAGGCGGGAGACTGGTAGAACCCCCCGGACGATCTTCGTTATGGAGGTTAAATTCTACTTTTCGACCAGTCAATGAATATGATCATCGTGTTAATTGTGGTGGGTTTGAAGTAAGTCTGAATTATTGCAAGTTTGCATGTTTTGTTTCTTTTTGTATAATTTATAACATTTTTATTTCAAATTAGACAATCACTGAGGTGACTACTTTTTTTAATAATGGAAGCCTAAGGGAATGGTTGAATACTCTGAAAGTGTAACATAAAATATTGTCCATCGGACAAAATTTCATGTAAAATATTGTTCACAGACACTATTTCATAATGAAAGACTGTCCAGGACAATATTTCATTATGTCCAGGAAATTTTGCCATCTCCTTCAGGACAATATTTCACTATGAAATTCTGTCCAGGATAATATTTCACTATGAAATTCATTCCAGGACAATATTTTACTATGAAATTCTGTCCATGACGATATTTCACTATGAAATACTGTCTATGACAGTATTTCACTGTGAAATTCTGTCCATGACAATATATCACTGTGAAATACTATCCATGAAAATATTTCTTAATCAAATTATTACAAAAAATAAAAACAGTACACAAGCATTTAGCATGCACATTTTTAGATTTATAACTGAATTTTTTTGTAAATCAAGTATATATTTTAAATTTCAAACAAATATTTATTTTAACATCAGCTAGTTTCAAATTTGCATTGATACTTTATAAATGATCCATAGATTAAAGAATTGTCTAACGTATGTTTCATTGTACTACTGTATAAATATAAGTAATGTTCTGACAATCACTTAGCCTGACTAACGACTAAAATATATCATAAAATTAGCCAAAATTAAGAATAGTAGGATCTAACAAACATCTTACTTGAAATGAAATAAATTCATACAGAATTGATACAATATTAGGAAAAAATATTTGAAAAATAATATGCCTTTGATGTATTGGTAGCCAGACAATGGTGAGTTGTGTAACGAACAAGGAGTCGTTTGTAGAACACATTGTTCAGTTGTACACTTCAACAACAAAAATAATACATATTTGCTAAAATCTTCCGAAGACCAAAGTAGAAATTCAATTATCACTTACATAATTATTCTTTTTTAGCCATGGCGTTGTCAGTTTATTTTCGACTTATGAGTTTAATGTCCCTTTGGTATCTTTCGCCTCTCTTGTATATATGCTTGTTTGTATAAAGTATGAATATTCATGATATGTTTGATATCTGTAGATCAGACAACAACCCAATGACAAAAATAACAAAAAGCCCTCCTCTTTTTTTTTTTACTTACCATTTCAGAATTAGTATTGTTCTTTCTTAGACAAGTCTAAAGACAGTATAAATAAGCACCTAAATACGTAATTAGACATATCGTATAGGAGAATTCTTTCCTCACCTTTGTTTAACATGATTCTGGATTAAATATACATGTATTATTCTGTAATAAGCCATATTAAATTATTCAGTGCATTCAGGCTTTGATGAATTCGTGCACCTTTCTTGTAGTGATCTTTTCCGCGACCCGATGTCATAGTTGTACGGTAACAGCGTCGGATGATATTTATGTTATTTTAACAAACGATCAAACGGTTTTATTTTCTAATTCTTTGACCTCGAGAAAATCTATTTATAGTACCGTATATTCATTTGAAGTAAGATGACTAAAATATCTATGTTTGCTACGTGTCCTTTATTCACCCTTGAAAGCCGGGTACACGACTACCAGTACAGCATAGCAGGGTTGACTGGGTGGGGTACTTTCACCTACATATTATATCCTCGATCAAAATCTTATATATAGCTTACGGCACAAACTAAGAACTATAATATTATAGTACCTTGATGATAGTACCTCTGTTATATTTATTATTATTGTCCTAATTATCTATGGTTTGTGTTGGTCGTATTAAAAGACAAGCTAACTTGAAATAAATTACTGCTCGATCAGTTGCCTGTGGGTTTAAACTTAAATTTACACCAATTAGCTTTAAAATGTCTTTGTGATTCACAGAAGATGTTTCAGTAAAAGCAAACTACTTTATTTTATGTACCAGTGTTTGTAGTTAAATAATGATTTTGGCGTCATTTGTATCATTTTTTTCTCGAAAGTCATATACAGTCACCCCTATCATGACGAGACCATACAGGATATAAGATCTAAACATGTTATTTCAGATCGGATCCCTCTTTATAGATGTTCATTTATACTACATGTATAATCAGTCTGACCTTGATACAACTTATATAGTGTATTTAAGATACCCGTCTCTCTCTATTACCGAACCTATAGATGTCTCTTGATTTTTCGTGTGTCGTTTAGTTGACTCGGTGACGTTTACCCCGATATCTCCTTTATACACTACAATATTTGTATTAAACTTATCAAGGATTCACTCAGGAATATAACAAACGTTAAAGTATACATTTTAAAATTGGTGTGGAGTCAGGGGACGCGAGGCCATTAATTCGACATTCAAATTACAGTAATAAAAATCATTGATAATTTTGCTCCCCAAATTTGGGATTTCGCAATCCGGAGAGAGGTGTAACAAATTTAAGGTTTTTGTGCATTTTTTTTTTAAATCCTGGCGCGCCTGCTTCAGTACACACCCTATTTATGTACACTTAAAAATACTTCGTATTTTGTGATAAGTCGTCCTTGTTTAATTCCTACGAAAAGGTAAAATCTCCGAAAACAAAAGCTAATTTTATCAGCTAAAGTTATAGAAGAGGGGATAAGGGGTCTGCGCCATGCTAGGTGGTGTTGCTGTAGAAGTGAGAACTAAAAAGTACAGGTTCAAGCTCCGGTCAGGAGGGGGGGGGAGTAAAGAATCAGATCTACTCTAACATTATTAGCTTGATTTTCTAAGCACTTTATATGTATATAAAGATAGAGAGATACGTTTAAATTTGTATTTACTAACGTTTATATTCATCACAAATGACGTTTATCTTTGAAGCTATTCGTTATATATTATAATAGTTATTATGCTATGGTTTGAATGAAATGATTAAATGCTTGCTTTGATCTTCCTATACTATGCACTTTTACTTACTCTTACAAATAAACAAACGAATTATTATTATATCTTGACAATCCCTATATTAGTGTTGTTTTCGAAATAGGAAACAACATGTAAAATGCACTAAACAGCAAGGTTAATCCTAAAGTCTAAAGTCCAAATAGCATAAATTCATTATTTAATTCACATTTATAGGGTGTTTATAAGTATGAGAGAGAGAATACTTGCGTCGAACCAACGTCAACTATTTTTAATCCATATAAAGGTGCAATCGTTCGTTTATAGAGTCTTTGAATACTAGTATTGACTAATTGATTGAATGATTGATATTGATATAACACCCCCTCACCACACATGGTTTATGTCGAGCCGACGAAGCGAGTACAAATTTAGACAAATCTAATATAGACTGATATTGATTGTTATTTATACTTTAACCCCTTTGCACTTAGTCATATGCTTAGATCTAAATAGAAAGGATATATGGTATAGTGGCTGTCTTAGGTCATATCGTAATATCTTTTTTTTTTATGAGAACTTGGTGTTGTTGGCATATATTTGATATAAAATAAGGAGAGGTGGTATGATTGCCAACAAGATAACTATCCACCAAAGTCACAACGACAAGGATTTAAGTATGGGTCGCCTTCAACAATGAGCAAAACTTAAGACAAAATTGTAAACGAAAAACAGATATGACACACAGCAACCAACGACAACCACTGAATTACTAGCTCTGACTGTGGACAGGTGCAGAAAGTGGCGAGGTTACTTATATTTGTGAGTGCTCAACCACGAAACAGATCATAAGAACACACTGTAAAAATCAGTTTGAGCGGGCTCGACACAAAGCACGACAAAAAGAATCTATCTTAGAGTACTTGCAGGTACTGTGAGCTAGTTAAAAGCCAGTCTTAACTGATAAATAAACCACGTTGTCCCAGACTAAACTATCTATCAATCAGGACACATCCAATGGATTTAGTATTACGACGTCATAGACAGTCTGCGAAAAGATTTTAGCTTCTAGGCACAGAGTAGTGTTGACTAATTAACTCTGGTAGGTGGGGCAGGCTACAAACATAAAACTGGTCTCCTTACTCAATATTATAGATCATATCTATAGTTCTGGTCTGAGTCCAGCTTTATTGCTATATTTTCTGACAGGCATAGAGTCCTATAGCACTTTCATAAAAAATTGTACTCCATCAATTATGGTTATGTTTTTATTTTACAGAAACAGTGGTTGGAAAATAAAGGAAAATGTGGAATTTGTGGTGACCCATTTGATGGACCACGTGATCATGAAAATGGTGAAAAATACGATCATAAATTTATTTCTCGGACGTTTAGGCAAAACGAAATAATTAATGTGACTGTTGAAACAATTGGAGATTTATCAGGATATATTGAATTCCGAATCTGTGATAATAGTAACAATAACATTATAACGACAGACTGTCTCGATAGCAATGTTTTGGAAATAGGAGATACAAAATATAAACAGTATACGGTTTGGAATTCAGGGTACCACGTGATACCCTTACAGCTTCCAGTGAATTTAACCTGTGATAAATGTTTACTGCAGTTTCGATACCATACCGGTAAGTAATGTTTTGGTGTTAAGAACCATGTAATCAATAGTCAATTACTTACCCTTGCGAACTACAAGAAAATAAAGAGATACATTCAGATAATTTCACCATCAATCAATCATACAGTTTCTTTGAAATACTGTTTTAAATACTTATTGTCACTGTTTAGATAAGCACATGTGAGGGCAAATATCTTCGCTTTTTTTTTAAATCGGTATCTATGTTAATATTTTGAATTCCGAATTCCGAATATGTGATGAACTTAAAAACCACACTAGAAGACCCGAGAATTCATAATCCGTTAAAGTACAATTACTCGCTACCATATTTTACCTAATTTAGCCAGAAGGTAGCCTCCAAAGTTCTCCATTGCTATGGTTATGTGAAACATTTATAAAACCAAATCTTCAGTCACTTATTAAAATGTCAAATAAAATAAAAATCCTGAAAAAAGGACCTTCAACAAATATTCTCTAACCATCCTCCTCGTGTAAGACGATAAAGTCTAACGTTTGATTTTGTCAGTTTTTATGGACTTTCCCCTTTTGAATTTACTTTGGGGTTCGATATTTTTGTTCTACATTTTTAACTCTCCTTGTTGAGCTTTGTTTTGTATAAATGTTGTTCTGGTAATATTCTCTTCACAGGTTATCGGTGGGGTTGTGATGATGATGACTGTTGCTATGGTTGTGGTCCAATGCAGGAGGAGTTTTATAGTTGTGCTGACATCACAATACTGCCAGATGAAACTCTTAAATTCAAAACGTGGTAAGATCATACATACAAAGTTTATGTTTATGCTACAAATAAAAGCAGTCTGAATTCAATATACTATTGGAAATTCATCATTAATTAAAAGATCAGCGAGGGACCTGAATTATAAGTCGTTAGAAATCGGTCACTCGCTTAAGTCTCTTATTGCTAGGGGGCTCAAAAGTATACATAAAGAGGTGTCTTTTTTGTTATTTTGGTCGTTTTGTTGCTGTGTCGTTGATATATTCTCATTTCTCTTTTCAATCATATTTAATGAAAAAAAAAAACAAACAAGTATAGGGTGATTAGATATCGAGTTGGTCCAAATAAAGTTTGACGATTGAGGAGAAGTATTATTTTACATTTTTTTTTTGCTAATACTGAACACTATATATACCTGCTGGTATCATGCGAAACAAAAAATAAAAATCATTACGCTTTAATCTATTAATGTAGGAGTCATCACATGATACGTGATTTATTCAACATTCAATACTTTAAAAAAAAATATTACCCTGCGGTTAGATATAAAACATATATAGTTCATAACCTAAAATGTCTTAATTATAACGTACTATCTGATAAACGTTTACTATTTTTTTTAGTATGACACACAGCCTTAGGTTTATTATAGCATAGATTAAAATAACAAAGTTATATTATAAAAAATATGGAGAGGTGGTATGATTGCCAATGAGACAACAATCCAACAAAGTTCAAATTACGTGGATGTAAGCAATTAAAGGTCCCCGTACGGCCTTCAACAATGAGAAAAAAACCCATACTGTATAGTCAGCTTTAAAAAGCCCCGACATGAAAAATGTAAAACAGTTCAAACGAGAAAAGTAACGGCCTAATCTATAACTATACACTTTATGAAAAACATATATGACAGACATGAACCAACGACAATTACTGAATAACTGCCTCTTGTTGTATGGATTGTGGAATTTGTATTACTGAAGTAGCCCATATCAGAGCCACTACCATTGTAAAATAAGGGAATGTGATTTTGGAAGAAAAACCTTCCTGTAATTGACCTGCTTTAAAGAATTTAATACGAAATTTGAATACTTTGTTTAATTGTAAGGTGCATTCGAAATTTTTTTTTTTGGTTTTGTTGATTAATTCGGTTAATTGAAATTTTGATAGTTTTGCAAGTTTGTTAGCCTTGAGCCATATGACATTTGTTATGTTTTTTTATTCATTACCGACATACTTTGTTTTCTTTAAATTACGTAATTGTTAAAGTGAAAAAATGAAGAAAAAATTATATACACATGTAGGATGCAAGCGTGTCAAACGTGACAAAATTTTTGTAATCTTTATTCTGATATTAAATATTGAGAAATTAAATTAAATTTACTACTATCGTATAATTTTAGAGATGAAAGACAACACTGTGTTATCTTTGTTCCACATCAAAAGGAAAACTATTTCATTATTTAGTTGAGAAAAAAACCTTATCAAATTATATAAAAATAAGAAGAGATGTAGTATGATTGCCAATGAGACAACTATAGCACATTCCAAAAAATATTTCTGTAGATATCCTAGTGTTGCAAGTCATGACGGTCTACTTTCGTGTTGCAATTTTAAAGTGACGAAGAACTTATCTCTGTTTTAACACATTTAGAATTTTATAAATTTACTCACATATATATGATTTTGAAAATATTTTTCTATATTAGTAACCATTATTCTTATTGGTTGATACCGATTGATAATTCTGTATACTACCTCATTGTACATGTACATAATGGAAGAGATTGCCAACTTCATTCAAAGGCCAGATATATGATTTTGAAATTTCATACGACTCTCTCAGTATTTTTCGAACTTCTTTTTCATGTAGAGACATATATTTTCTCTATTAATTTTTTATCATTTCTAGAATATTTCCAAATATGGTTTAATAGATTTGAAAAGCATATTGCTTTCGGCATTTGCATTTGCGTCGATTTTTTCTTTCATTTGCGCCGATTTTTTCTTACATTTGCGCCGATTTTTTTTTCATTTGCGCCTATTTTTATTTACAGGTAAATTACAGGTGAATGTTATTTTTCATTTATCATTATAGACCTCTTCAGTTCGCCAGTTGTACAAATGTTATGAATTGTCAATCATAATATGTATATAACTGTTGTCCTCTGCACACCACGGGGAGGTGGAAGTAGGATTTTGAGCAAGATAAGTCAATTTAAAAGCACTATGTTCACATACTTTATAATCAAGAAGTAAAAACCTAAGATAAAAGCACTCTGTTTTTACTAAAATGACGAATTTAAAATCTATTTACAACATTAAAATCCGTAAAAACGGAGTACATTAAAATCATAAATCTGTTCTTGTCGCGGAGTATTTATAGGCAACACATCTAATATATTCCTTTCTTGTGATTTCGTCTCTATATTTGTCGTAATTGTCAATAACGAAGTCCAACTTTTCTTTCTCTGGCTAACGTACTGATGCGGGCATTTCTAGAGTTCGCATTTTAACATACGTAACGGCCTGGATTTTCTTAACTTAAACATAAGTGAACAACGTTTACAAATATTTACTCACCTGTGTTAAACTGTAAATGCTATTAGGAGTAAATATAAAATCGGCGCAAATGAAAAAATGAAATCGGCGCAAATGAAAGAATGAAACTTTTAAAAATCGGCGCAAATGTCATACGCCCATTTTTTTTTATCAAGATTTTGTGAACAATGTTAGTAAAAAATTGACATTAAGGTATTAAAAATTCAACGAAATCACAGAAGGTATGATTTTTTTATACATAACATATTTGATGTTATGGAAATCTAAATGATTTCTTGATAGGGTATTATTAAAGGTATCATTTAAATATTTTTGTGATTCTTTTTTTTTAAACTAAGAATTAAATCATACTTTAACATTACAATCACGAGGGTTGTGTGATATCACGAGATTTCACCAAGTTGCTAATTATATGTCTCTGCACGTTGTTACACATGTATATGTCAACGTATACTTGTTCTTCCGAACAGAAGTTCCCATGGAAACTTTATTATAAATAATGCTGTAATATCTGTCCCTGTTGAACAAACATGCTATACCCTTTTTTTGTCAGGAACAATCTGCAAGTGGAAATAATGGTTACATAATATTCCTTCCATTTGAAAATTGTACTATAAAGGAATTTCTATTCCATGACAGCTTTAGGTGAGAAGAACAACAAACGAATAAGCTTGGATTATGGGATTCAGATTGTCTATGATATTATTAAAATGAGGTTCTATCTCATTTACAAAAGATGGAATATGTTGATATCAATTTCCCATATAACCGAAAGCAAAGGGAACAGCGCTTTTATTGCTGTTCTTTATCTCAAATTCTAATATGACGTGCTGATTTGTAAACAACAGGCGTGATAAAATTATCGATATATCTATATTAAGGACAGACACGCAGATGCTGTATAACTTCATGTTTTGTTCGGGATAAAATTCTAATATTAAGGCCCAGGCCATGTGAAATCTTCCATAAATCTATGGCTTGCATGAATTATTTCTTAATTAACAGAGTCCTCATTGCAAGTTTGGGACGGTCTATTTACCTTATTTTATGTCTCTTCAATTTTACTCATCTTACTTTTAAGGCATGAACACAGTCTAGAAGATTCACCATACTTGTCATGGTGGTGTACATTCCAGTGTTCAGAAGAGGAATGTGATTCGACAATTTGTTCAAAACTAGCACATTTACGTCTGAAGAGACAAACATCAAAGACATGTAAAGGCACGGGATTATGGACAGACAATAGAGGAATGGATTTTTGGTGTAGGATTAATTGTCTTAACCCGCTACCGTATTGTCCACCGGAGTACTGCGAATGTGACACAGGTACCATTTCTTGCATTCAAGATAATTTTCAAACAATGAAACGCACACATGTGATTCTTCCGGCATAATTTTAATTAATTCCATGTGTAGATGATAAAAGAAAGTTTATTTGTAATAAATCATATTGATTGGTGTACAAATACACGAACTTGATTTCTATATTTTTTTGTTTTCCACCTCCTCCATTACCATTACCTCTTTTGATATCTTTATTTGCCGGGAAACAAATACCTGCAAATATAACCGAGCACTGAATATCAAAAAAGTGGTTTGAAATAATTAATTTTCTGATTTAAGGGGACGTCGGAACAACGACCATTGGAACAACGACCACTACAACCACGGCACCAACAACAACACCAGGTAATTAGTTGTTCATTTTAAATATCTTTTGATTCTATAAAGTTGAATTTTGAATGGTGAAACCAATGATTTGTGGGAACTGCCATCTAAACATGTAAATCCTTTCATTTTCAAATGGTACCCAACAGAATCAAAGGTAAAGTTTACTTCTAAACCAAATATTCACAATGATACAGCGCTTATTTTGTCTCTTATGCATAAACGGATACTAGTAAATGGGGTTTTTAAACAAACACAGCGACATTGGAAAGTTTACGGTAGTTGCCATTGAGATATATATATATATATATATATATAGTCCATACAATCATAAAAATCCACAAATGATTTATACATATACGGGTTTCAGCATTTTTGTTGCAAAATTTTGTGTACAAAAAAACATAAAATTTACTGGTAATTTTATCATAAAATACATGAAGAAAAGTTCAAAGAATTATGAATAATTTTACAATAACATCTGACTGATGAATTTACGCAGTACAATCGGAAATCTAAAAAAAAATATTTACAATATGCATTGCCCAGCGTAGATTAGCGTAGCCCTTCAATTAAGCAGTGCATCCTGTTTAGTATTTTCTTATCTATTCCTTTCTGATTGAGGATAATTGATATATATATACGTCAATTGATAGTACATTTTGACGATCGATCCTTCATTAAAAAAAATAGGCACGTAAACACTGAGACTACTATATAATAATACTATCATTTGAGCTCGGCATCGACCATTCATCTTTTGATTCTTATACCTTCACCCTCCCCGGCCACACAAACACATACACACACACAGTCGATGCCTAATGAAGCCAGAAGTTCGGTTCTGTTTATACTATCTAACAAAATTCAAGAAATTCATATTTTCTGATATCCTGTACTGTAAAATTCCTACCTAAGGAATTTGAATGATTATGGTCATTACACGTTGATCTGAGAGTACTCGAAGTTATTGAAGTAGCTAATTGATTAATTGATTGCTAAATGTTCAGTGGCAAATAGTTCGTGCATGTTCAGGACAAAAACAAATTTACAATTAATACAACAGGTAGATCCTGTAATAGGGGTCGTCCAGGATGAAGGTCTGGAAATTTAGAAATGCCATTGGAAAATGAGGGTTTATTGGATAGGGACAGAACTTTTGCCTTTCAGCAGACCACCTACGGACCCCTCAATGAATTTTTGCAAGTGTTCTTAACGTGCAGAGAGCGTGGCATTCTCTCTACACTAAGCATCGGATTTAACGTCCCCATTCTGTACAGACGTGACTGCGTATTTATACATCCCGCACAGCCAAACGGACGCCCCACTTGGCAAGGGTTTTAGTGTAGGTCGGATGAAGACCAAGTGGAAAACTAGTTGAAAGCCAACAACAACTTTAAAAAAAAAATCATGCATCTTAGAATAAAATGCATGTTGAGGTTCATTCATGTATTTGTTGATAGAAGTGAAATGATCTGAACCAAAGTTCTAATATAATGTACATACAATTCTATCCAATACTCCATTCATTAAGGATGATAGACTAGTGTACACTGAATGACATTTGATAATTAAAGAGTTTTGACGACTTCACGTGCATCTACAGATAACGTTGTCATTATTTTTTTTTAATAAAAAAAAATACTTGTGAAAAAATTATGTGAAGGCACGTGCCTAAAGTGCCTAACGGCAGCTACGCCCCTGCCAAGTTTTCTCGATCCACAAATAGCATTTGGTTGTCTTCATTTATATGTAATATTTGTGATCTACATTCCTGATCAGTACACATGTATTGTTTCAATGGAGGTTAACTGGTTTAGTTCATTTAGGTACAATAAGCAAACTTTCCGAACTATATAGATAATTTAAGCACAAATCTGGACATTTGTCTAGCTTTATCATCCTAGTACAGTCCTTATATGGATATACGTACTAATCTACCTGCAGCACAAAGTAGAGCAAAGTAATTATAGGTACGATCATGACGCGAAGTACTGTATATTTATAATGACATTGTAATATATGATTACATTCACCATAGATAAACACATTAGTAAATTTATTCTGGGAAGTTTAAAAATTACGTACAATTGCCTTACAATATATTGAACCTAAAACCAAATGAACTTGATTTAAAAACCCAGAATATTGCCATAAACAAGTTCATCGTGTTCATATGTAATTAAATGTCTTCTTAAAATCAACATCACTGAATTTATATTCAGCTCTTTCCGCAAAATATATCATTTACGACTAAAATTAATCATGGCGTATCAATGCCGAATTGCTCGTGACTTACGAGAGCTTTTTATCACCAGACTCTGTGATAATAGGTGCTAGTCTTCAGTATCCATCCAACCACACGGCATCCGTTTGGAATCATCACAGTTTCAGAATCTAATGCTTTCCAAAATGAACACGAAAAGTGATTGGTTCATAAGTAACGTACTAACCAAAAACATAACGTTATTTTCATGTTGGTGCTCGAACAGTGACGAGGGTGGATAAGGATTATTTTCGTGCTTTAACGTGTTTGCAATTTATATTTCATATGTTTTCCTGCTTGAAGCTCATAATTCACCGTATTGCGTGCAAATTGGTGAAAAAGCAACTTGCAGGCTGTTTTTTTTACGTTCATCTTAAAATGGCCATTTTACTCTCCGTTCGGCCGTGCACATACATCACCCCTGCTTTTTGCGACCCTCATTGACGATACCGATAATATATGAAGAATTATAAATTGAATTGTTTTCGTTTATCATAAATTCCAATTTCACATTCCTTCAGGCAGACGGCGTTTTTACTGTAAGTTTCTTTTATTTTTATATCATCTCTCGATTTTTCTGTATTTTATTTTTGTATACATCTGTGTACAAAATTCCAGACAGATTGCTTGACTACATTTACTTTATTTCAGACAGACTATTTGTCCACATTTATTCAAATTCAGACAGATTTATTGACTACATTTACTTAATTTCAGACAGATTGTTTGAATACATTTACGTAATTTCAGACAGATTGTTTAACTACATTTACTTATTTCAGACAGATTGTTTGACTACATTTACTTATTTTCAGCCTGTTTGTATATGTAGCAGACGTGGTTTGGCCATTTATCTAATACCATACCAGTTTCATTTGGTCGTAGTCTCTGGCCTCGTTGTTATCAGATTTTTACTCAGAATTAATTCTGACTTGTGCTTATAAAAGAACATGGACGGAAGCTCTACTTGACGGTCCATGACTATCCCAATTACCACCATGTACTGGGACCTGCTCCTGTTTCATCTACAGAAACCAAAATCAGTTTAATATATTTCAGACAGATTGTTTGTTTTCATTGACTAATATCAGTTTCTTTAATTTCAGGGAGATTGTTTGTGTACATTAACCCAATCCAGTCCACTGCTACAGTTGGTGATGTACTCGTTCAGATTCAATGTTTTGTTACTGGGATACCAGTGGCCGATACATGGTACTGGACAAGGAAACCTCTTAATGGTGGACCAATTACTACAATCGAAAAAGGAACCAATAATGCAGATTATATAGTGGATAATTCCCCGACCAGTCCATCCCTGTCCATTCTTGGTATTACTAAGGCTGATGAAGCCGACTATACATGTTATGCCACGAATGCTGCTGGGGCAAGTTCTAGTTCCAGCTCAAGATTATATGTTAATGGAGGTATTCTTACTTTAAAAAAAAACATACACAAGTTATCAATTGAAAATATCTCACTTGGCGTCTTGTCCTCCGTAAACCTGTCCCATATTCATTTTCACCTTCTCTGAAACTACTTATCCAATCTTACCCAAATTTTACAAGATGATGTATGCAGGGTCCTCTTAAAACAATTGTCTCTGAATATTTTTTTTAAATCTGAACAAAATTTATTTCAAAACGTTACTGTCTTCTAGAAATCTTCTTATCAAAATCAAAATGAACTTGTTGGGTAATCAGTATTCTCAGACTACTAGTATCAATTCCATTATAAATGTGAAAACAAAGCCACTCATTCCACCTGGGTTTTTTTAAGCCTTGTTCAAATAAAGTTTATATTTCGAGACAATGTATGGTTGTTTTCTATATACTGCAACTCTTACAACAGTTCCAAATGAAATATTTTGGGTACAAACATCAATTTTGAATTGGAGCAGACGACATCAAAATTCCGCAAACCTGTATTGTTTATTGACGTCACACACAAGACGATATACAGTGACGGTATGTCACAAATAGATATATGGTCAATCCGATTTGACTGTGCAAACAGCACAGTTGCAGTATAAACATACAATAACTATAATTTGTGGTATGCTGGATACATGCCAAAGATATTTATGTTTTCAATTGGAATTATAAAATAAACCCGACGTTCATATCTGACAGAGATTGATTCTGCCATTTTCAAAACGAAAACAATGTCTGTGTTGTATACACAAGTAGGTAGTAAAGTTTAAATTAAGGAATGTATCTCTCCCATGCATACATGTAGTTCTGATTCCTTGTCCGGGTCTGGCTTTACTTTTGGTCCTTTTTATGTTTTATCAGCTCTTCAACGTTTGTATTATGTTGGTTTTGGACCTTCAAATATTCTGAATCCGAGCATCCCTGAAGAGACATAGATTGTCAAAATACGCATCTGGTGCAATAAAATTGGTACAGTTAATGTTATTAACATACATTTTTCAGCCTTGCTTTATCTATGTATTTCCAGACTTGCTCAATATCTCAATAGAACCAGAAAGCTTCACGATATTGGCGGGAGATGCAAGTTATAAAATATTGTGCATAATAACCGGTTCTCCACAAGCTACGTCTTGGTACTGGACGAAAACATCAATAAATGGTAATACAATTAGTACGATCGGTCAGGGAACCAATAACCAGAAATATACTATTGATAATTCACCGACCTATCCACATCTAACTATTAAAGACATAACTGAAGATGATGAAGGTTATTATGAATGTCACGCGACGAATGGCGCTGGACAAAGTAAAAGTGCAAGGAAGTCAAGACTACTTGTCACTGGAGGTAAGTTGCGATGACTGCTCAGTATTGATGGGAATTAAATCAACATAAAAAAAACGGATGAATTTTCTTTTTCTTTCTGTTGTCATACATTTATATGACGATATTCGTGTAAAATTTTAAAAATCATGGAAAAGAAGATTCCGAATTGATTATCATATATTATGGATAATTATTTCAAGAAAAACCAGAAAAACACAATAATACATCAAAAGGGTAACATGATTTACCAAAAACTGATAAAAATACCAGGCTTATAATTTTGTACGCAAGACGCGCGTTTCGTTTACATAATACTCATTAATTAAAACAGTTGGAAAGCAAAATATAATACAAAATTGTTGAGCTTTAAGAACCGAACATTCTGAAAAGTTGTGACAAAACGGCTAAGGCAATCTATGTCTGGTGGTAATATAAACTTAGTGTTTCGATAAACTCAATATTTTATATACAGTCAGTGTGGATTCATTTATTTTCTTGGATACCAATTTTTTGGATATTTGATTTCGTTCTTTGCCAAAATCTGCATAAAAGCCAAAAGAAATGTGTACTTCGTTGGACATTTAAATTCGTATTTTATCTATAACAAAATGAAATCCTCGAAAAATGATAACCCACGAATACAAATGAATCCAAAGTACAATAAGTTTACAGAAAATGAACATATCAATAATATGTCATGTCAACTCAAAAGTGTTGACTGCTGTTCTAAATATTGGACAGGTCATCAGACCACACCAACAATCAACATAATAATCATGACCCCTCAAAAACAATCTATCAAACAAACACTTAAGTCTAGAACGTTTAATATTATTCCTAGACCCATTATTTTGATTGTCTTAGTTACATCTTTTTATAAGAATTCCTGACATGTTTATTTCATTTTTAATATGTGATATTTTACTAGTTTATTCCTCTGTTTGTTTACTTGTAGACACGGTTACAAACATAGTCCGTGTTTTAGCGAGTGCCGGATGTCAGTACTGTAACAAGAAGAACAATGTTACATGCGCCAACTGGTATTGCTCAGAAGGTAAGTCAATTGTTTTGATATTTAACATATAACAGTACATAAACTTAAGTTATCAAGATAGACAAACAAACTGTATCATAGTCATCTACCAAACTTGTTGGTAGTAAAAAACTTTGAGCTGAAATGTTCAATTTTATCTGAAGGATTCGAATAGAGAAACACTTACAGAAGTCTTCTAGTTGTAATCAGGCTTTCGTAGACATTTCCACTGTTTTTGTCTGTCAAAGTGTTCCACAATGATTATTTTCGATATAAAGTGGGCAATAACAAGCTTTAAATAGAAGAATAATCGACAACACGATGACCAAATGAAATAGTACAAAAAGGCTAACAACAGTCCACAAATAATCAAACATACATATGGTGAAGTTGCTTATAAAAATAAGAAGATGTAGTATGATTGCCAATGAGACAATTTTCTACCAGAGACCAAATGACAAAGAAGTTAACAACTATAGGTCGCCTTTCGGCCTTCAATAATGAGCAAAACCCATCTTAGTTCTTACTCCACTAGGCAGTAAAAACTCGTCATGTTAAGATTATGACCAAAGGACCTGAATTAAAGTACAAAAATAAAAACAAAATAGAAATGAATGCCACTTAAATGTTTATTAAGGTTTTCTGTATAAATTATTTATAGTGCCCAAGTGATATAAGACGAGAGAAGTATGTTGTTAAATATCACATATTTTTATATTGTAGTGTTCACTGCGGAACTTGATTTAACTGGTATGTACATGAAAATGTATTTTTTTATGCAAATAATCTTTTATATTTTTTCATTATGCAAATTTATAGAATCATTACCAGCAATTTAATGGTTGTTTGTAATACCAACAATCGACGTCAGAATACGGAAATTACGTCAAAATTGTTTTAACAAAAAAATTCTCCAAGTTTCTGCTATATTACATATTTGTAGCGGTTACAAAATCTTTCCAGAATTCAAAAAAATATTCTATGATCATACAAACTATTGCATGTTGTAATTGACATGTAAACGATAAACAAATGAGTGGGCTCGCTATATCTTCATATGTAACAGTATCGATACTATAGGATATTGAAGATATTTTAACATACAGGACATAATTTTTACAAAATTCTCCTGATTTTGTTTCAGGTCTATCTTAACAATTTGTAGCAGCTAGATAGTTATATTTCTAAGTAAACATTCATAATTATTTTAATTTTCACATTTTTGACACTAATCAAATATAAAAATGAAATAATATACAGGAAATAAATTTGTTATGTTGTTATGATTTCTACGAAAATCAAACCAGGAAAGATTGAGGGAGATTGTTTGTGAAAAACATCGTTTTATTTGGAATATAGAGGAATAATCAGCTTATAATTTACAATTGGAACATAACAGTAGCCTAGGTGTAATCGAAATGGTTTCCGTCATTAATTTTGCAACAAACGAAAATGAAAAATGCTGTTTATATTTTATCATTATTTATACAATTAGGAACTTTGACATCAAAAGTGAACCAGTTAGCTGACAATTTTTGTTCCTTCTGCGAAACCAATGATACTGCATGCATTGACTTATTCTGTAAGTATGCCACTCTTTGTACAGGTGTATTTTGTAATTAATTTGAGTGTGTGCCTAAAAAATCAATTGTATTTAAACTGCAAGGACGCAGGGAGTCTTTTAGTACGTTTAGAGTTAATGCACATAAGCTACAACCGAAATATGAATGCAAAGGGATAAGAACTTTTTCACGACTCAAACATATATAACATTGTATATGTCCCGTTTAATGAAAAATCTTTCAAGATTAGTTCTATAATACTAAATTAATTTAATCAGCTCCATCCTCATTAGTTGTTTGTAAATATTATGTGCAAAAGAATGTAAATTTGTTAATTATTAAGACAATCATAAATTGTCGATAACAGCACGAGCTCTAAATAGTACCAATTGTTTTCCTTTTTTTGGGTTTGTTCACGATGCGTTTGATAAAATTACCTATCCAAATAAAACTCAGGCTTTTAAGCCGTCACAGTAAAATTTATTAACAGAGGTGATCCACATGCACTGCCACACACAACCATTAACCTCGTTGTTTACGCTTGTCTTTTTTCCCTTTTGCGCAGGTTTACCAAATAGACGCATGTTATAGTTATCTATACGAGCTAGATGTAATGTATGATCATCACCTGGTATTCAATGTCAATCTGATCTGTTTCCCTTTTCTCAGATTTACCAAATAGACGCTTGGTATCATTATCTATACAAGCTAGATGTAATGTATGCCTATCACCAGGTATTCAATGTCAATCTGAACTTTTTCCCTTTTCTCAGGTTTACCAAATAGACGCATGGTATCCTTATCTATAGAAGCTAGATGTAATGTATGTTCATCAACTGGTATTCAATGTCAAGCTCATCCAGAATGTAAGTTCACAGTATCTTAACGTGGCACCCAACACTTTGACTAAAATAAATTTGGCTCGTTTAATTTTCATAAAATTTTGACAAAATGATTGACCGGTTAACAAAAATATACAAAAATTAACTTAAACCACACAATTTACATGAATAATTTCATTGGATATATAGCAGTTTTTAAATCATTGAGAAGCTTAATTTCTCTTTACTAGTTAACTCCCTTAGGTGTTCTGTATCCCCTGAAAGTAATCAATTATTACGAAAACTATACATTTTATAGAATGGAAACAATGCAAACATACCTGTAGTAATTACGGGCAAGATTGAATTGATGACTTTAAACAATTATGTTAATTGTGATATTGTGTTGACAAAGTAAATAATTACTGTGACAGATTTGGTGGACATCTTTTCAAGTTCTTTTGATTTTCGGTTTCTCCCTTGGTAGCTATGATCTATCCTGTTTTCTGTCTTTCTGACTTACTTATGAAATATTGTTCTATAATGACACATCATTGCTGTAGCAATGGTGTCTCTGTTTATTTTGCAAAAAAATAATCATTTCAGTCTATATTTTGATATAGGTTACTGTATCAAAAAGCTATATCAAAAATGAAGATAGCATGATGTTTGTCTATAGAGTCAAACATCGCATTGTGCACTTTAAAGTATAATGTACCCTAAATTAAGGATATCAAAATTAAACAGCAAATATTTTCTTACCTATTATATTATATTCACAGGTAGCTCTTTCTCCAATAACATACAATCGGGGTCAGGTAGGTGTGAAAATATTCATAATTAGTTAAAACATTTACATTTTCTTATTTTTTTTTTCACTTGATTTTTAATAATTTATATTATAACTTTCAAGAACTGTTATTTAGTTTTGTTAGGCAAACTGTGGCTTGTTCTCCGCTTGTCATTGGTTAAAAACACCCAAAACGAATACAAAGTTTTAAGAAAAATAAGTCTGCTTATTTATTGTCTAAAACAATTTACTTCCATTCGGAGGACCTGATAACATTTGTTGAGGTTGTTTCTGAGTTAAAGATTTCCAACTTAAATTTCCGAATTAGTTGGTCTGTTACATATATAATGCTTATAACACAACAGCGAATACCATGTGACATAGAAACTTCTCATTTATTTAAACCACATTCAAGGAAACAAAAAACATCACCAAGGAGTCTACATACCGAATTTATACTTACCAATAGCATCACGACGGGTACCACAGGAACATAATATGCTTACCCTTTACTTGATACAAACCCCGGTTTTTGGTGAAAAAATGAAAACAATACGTTATGAGATTTATACGTCCAAAGCGCTTTTCTGGATATACCTTCATCAGGAACGCTCAAAGCCGAATATTTGAAAGTCAAGGATGTATAGAAACCGAAACAGTTGAAGAGCTTTATGACCAAAAAGGACATAAAAAATAGCCAAAGCAATCTAATGTCAACTTTGCCTGAGGGAGGTTCTTTATAGTTTCAAAATTTATAAACGGACAATTTTAGAAAGGTTTGTTATAAATCATGTCAGTACCGAAGTACTGACTACTGAGCTTATGATACCCTCGGAGATTGATAGTCCACCAGCAGAAGTATCGGCTGTAAAAAATGAAAACAACACGTTATAAAAATAATGCGTCCAAAGCGCATTTTTGGATTTACCTTCACCATGAACGCTCAAAGCCGAATATTTGAAAGTCAAGGATGTATAAAAAAGGAAACAGTTGTAGAGTGTTATGACCAAATAGGACCCAAAAATAGCCAAATCCATCTAAGGTGAGGTTCGTGTTGCTCAACCTTTAGTACTAGTTTTATGAAGTGTTTTGCACACTGCCTTATTGTATTTTGTCTTTTTTTGCCATGATTTCGCCATTCTCTTTTCGACTTATGCGTGTTGGTTCTCCCTTTCTTATCTCCCGTCTCTTTATATATCACTCATATTATGATAACTTTCACAAAATCCTACATGAAATATTTTGCTATAATGATATTTCTGTAGCATTTTTGTCTCCTTTTTAGTAAAATGAGTCGTTTCAGTCCTTATGTTTTGATATAGATTACTGTAAAATAAAGTACATAACAAATAGAGATAGCATGATGTTTGTTTATAGAGTCAAACATTACATTGTGCACTTTAACTTATAATGAACCCTAAATTAAGGATCTCTAAAGTATACAGCAAACTTTTCCTTAGCAATTATTATTATATTTACAGGTGGCTCTTCCTCCAGTAATTTACAATCGGGGTCAGGTAGGTGTGAGAATATTCATATTAGTTAAAATAATTTACATTTTCTATTTTTTGTCTTGATTTTTAAAGATTTATATTATAACTTTCAAGAACTGTTAATTAGTTTTGATTAGCAAAATATGTCTCATTCTCTGCCTGTCATCGGTTGCAATTCAAGGATGTTGTCTACTTCTTTGTTTGTCTGTGATTTTGTCATTGCAACAGCATTATTAAATCCAAAACGATGTTTTATCTGATAAACACACCCAAAACGAATACAACATTTTAAAACAGGAAAGTCTGCTGTCTTTAAACAATTTACTTCCATTCAGAGAACCTGAAACCATTGCTGGGGGTTTTGGGGTTCATATTATCCAACTTTAATTTACGAATTTCTTAGTCTCTCCAGAAATGTATTGTGTTATTGACACAAAAGCAAAAAACATATATATATACCATTGATATATTCATTTTCTGTAAATTTACTGTATATAGATTTCTCATACCATATTCAAGAAACCAAGACATATCACCAAAGAGACTAAACACCTTATTTAAACTAACCACGAGCACTACGACGGGTACCACATGTGGAGTAGCATATGTTGCTGGAGCACCTGATACCAACCTCGGTTTTTGGTGGGGTACAACTATTTTAAACCTTAGCTTGAGTTGCTTAACTGTTTGGAATATCTGTGTCACATATTTTCCCGTCCTCTTTTCCTCGATTGTGACATCATCAAACGAGACTTAACACAGAATTTTACTTACCATTAGCAAAACGACGGGTGCTATATGTGGAGCACGATATGCTCACCCTTCCAGAGCACCTGTTTTGGTGGGGTTTATGTTGCTCAGTCGTTTCTTGCGTTTTTGATGTACTGTTTTGTTGTCTCAATTTTCGTTATTTTTGACCACGATTCTTTCAATCTCTCTTTGACTAACGAGTTTCGATTCTCCCTTTGGTATCTTCCACCTCCTTTTTACTCGTTGCTTCACCATTTGACACTCTCTGTCCTTTTTTGGATTAGTTGTGCACTTTTGAATAACTACTGATCCATTAGCTTCGGATATTTTGCACGTGTTTATGGTTACCACATGTATCTTAACAAACTTGTTTTACTGATAGGTATCTGTTGGGATCGTATTTAGGAAACTTTTAAGTATTTTCCTGTTTTATTAAAGATCAAACGTGAATGTCATTTATAGTCTGCATTATTTTGATGTTATTTAATTGGCAGATATCTTCGACATTCTCCACAGTTATCCCTCTTTACTTGTGTGTTGACTTAACATACCATTGATATATTAATTTTCTGTAAATTTACCGTTTATAAAAAGTTTAAACCTCAAGACACATATATTGCTTCCGCTATATATATTTGTACGTATTTCCGGATTTTTTTGTTTTAATTACTCTTCAACTTCGTATTTGATTTGACCTTTCAGCTATTTTGATTCGAACGTTACTGATTATAATTATGTTAACGACATGCAAGTCATTATAAGTCTGTTATATTTGGTGAGTTGTTACAACTGCTGAGTTGATGCCGTTGCCGGTGGACGTTTTGTACCTAGGATATCACCAGCCTAGAAGTTAGAACTGATGTGTTGACATGAAATATCATTGATATGTTCATTTTCTGTAAATTTCATTCAGAGTTTTATAGAAGTTGAATTATTCGAAACACTAAGGTTTTTCTACCTTAAGTCATGGATTGCTTTAGCTGTTTTTGGCGTAACTTTTCGGAATATTCGGTATTAAATGCTCTTCAATTTTGTATTTGACTTGAACTTCTAACTGTTTTGATTCGAGGGCCACGGATGAGTCTTGTGAAATCAGAACGCGCGTCAGGTGTACCAAATTATAAGCATGGTATCTTTGATATGTTTTTAGACTTGTTATTATTTTAGTGGTAACGTTTAAAGCAAACTCTAGCCTAATTGTCCCCGCACAGCGCTCTCGTACAATTTTTGCCAGATTTTTATAACATTTATATTAAGGGTTTATATTATTAATGTCATGAATAAGTTCGAAAATCAGTGCCAAACAACTATCTTAAATATAAATAATATTGAAAATTGCATTTTTAGTGCTCTCAAGTGTACAATTCTTGCCAGATATTTATGAAAGTATATCAAAGGTTTATATCATCAATGTCTCGGACAGGTTTGTAAATCAGTGCCGATCAACTATTTTTAAAAGAGTTATGCTCCCTAGAAATATAAGATATATAGAAAATTGCATTGTAAGCACTCTCACACATACATTTCTTGTAGGATTGTTATGAAATTTATATAGAAGGTTTATGTTAGCAATGTCTTTGACCAGTTCGTAAATCCGTGCCGATTAACTATTTTTAAAAGAGTTATGCTCATTGGTAATATTATTTTATAGAGAATTGCATTGTAAGCACTGTCACGCTCAAATTTTGTGTAGGATTGATATGAAATTTACAACATTGGTTTATATTAGCAATGTCTTTTACACGTGTAGAAAATCAACGCTGATCTAATATTTTTACAGGATTTATGTCTCTTTGAAATGTAATTTATATTGAAAATTGCATGGAAAGCCCCCTCAGACTTACATTTCTTGTCGATTTTAATGTAGTTTATCAATGGCTTATTGATCAAGAATGTGGACTAACAATTTCTAGAAAATTATGCCCTTGAAAATATGAATATATCAAAAGTAACGTTAGCGATTCATGCCTACATTTCCTATCAGATATTTATCAAAAAAGTTAAAAGACATTTTCTTGTAGTTTGTGTCCTTTGACTGGAAAAATATGGGCAACACGGGGGACATTGGAACGCTGTATATAGATATTTATGTACTACTGATTGATGTCACTCATGTATATGCAATACAGATACATTCAATGACGCATTACATTAACTAAATACAAATAAATCTGATATGTTAATTGCTACTTTTGATAACATGGTATTAAAGATCCTCAGTTTCATTTTCAATTTTTTTTATTGTCCCCCGCGTAACGCGTTGCGACACGGAAATACCGGGCGTCCGTCCGTGTGTCCGTCCGTCCGGTCTTATTAGTGTTTTCACAGGTACTATTCTTGCCAGATTTTTATAAAACTTATACTATAGGTTAATATCAGCAATATCTCGGACAAGTTTTATAATGGTGGACGATCGACTTTTTTTAAAAGAGTAATGCCCCTTGGAAATATTAAATTTATGGAAAATGGCCTCGTTAGCGCTCTCACTGGTACAGTTCTAGCCAGATTTTTATAAAAATTATACTATAGGTTAATACCAGCAATATCTCGGACAAGTTCTATAATGGTGGACGATCGATTTTTTTTAAAAGAATTATGCCCCTTGGAAATATTAAATTTATGGAAAATGGCCTCGTTAGCGCTCTCACTGGTACAGTTCTTGCAAGATTTTTATAAAAATTATACTATAGGTTAATATCAGCAATATCTCGGACAAGTTCTATAATGGTGGACGATCGACTTTTTTTAAAAGAGTTATGCCCCTTGGAAATATTAAATTTATGAAAAATGGACTCGTTAGCGCTCTCACGGGTTCAAATCTTGCCAGATTTTTATAAAACTTATACTATAGGTTAATATCAGCAATATCTCGAACAAGTTCTATAATGGTGGACCATCGACTTTTTTTAATAGAGTTATGCCCCTTGAAAATATCAAATTTATGGAAAATGACCTCGTTAGCGCTCTCACGGGTTCAATTCTTGCCAGCTTTTTAAAAATGAAAAATATAGGTTTATATCAGCAATATCTCGAACTAGTTCTATAATGGTGGACGATCGACTTTTTTTAAAAGAGTTATGCCCCTTGGAAATATTAAATTTATTGAAAATGGCCTCGTTAGCGCTCTCACGGGCTCAATTCTTGCCAGATTTTTATAAAACTTATACTATAGGTTAATATCAGCAATATCTCGGACAAGTTTTATAATGGTGGACGATCGACTTTTTTTAAAAGAGTAATGCCCCTTGGAAATATTAAATTTATGGAAAATGGCCTCGTTAGCGCTCTCACTGGTACAGTTCTAGCCAGATTTTTATAAAAATTATACTATAGGTTAATACCAGCAATATCTCGGACAAGTTCTATAATGGTGGACGATCGACTTTTTTTAAAAGAATTATGCCCCTTGGAAATATTAAATTTATGGAAAATGGCCTCGTTAGCGCTCTCACTGGTACAGTTCTTGCCAGATTTTTATGAAAATTATACTATAGGTTAATATCAGCAATATCTCGGACAAGTTCTATAATGGTGGACGATCGACTTTTTTTAAAAGAGTTATGCCCCTTGGAAATATTAAATTTATGAAAAATGGACTCGTTAGCGCTCTCACGGGTTCAAATCTTGCCAGATTTTTATAAAACTTATACTATAGGTTAATATCAGCAATATCTCGAACAAGTTCTATAATGGTGGACCATCGACTTTTTTTAATAGAGTTATGCCCTTGAAAATATCAAATTTATGGAAAATGACCTCGTTAGCGCTCTAACGGGTTCAATTCTTGCCAGCTTTTTAAAAATGAAAAATATAGGTTTATATCAGCAATATCTCGAACTAGTTCTATAATGGTGGACCATCGACTTTTTTTAATAGAGTTATGCCCCTTGAAAATATCAAATTTATGGAAAATGACCTCGTTAGCGCTCTCACGGGTTCAATTCTTGCCAGCTTTTAAAAAATTAAAAATATAGGTTAATATCAGCAATATCTCGAACTAGTTCTATAATGGTGGACGATCGACTTTTTTTAAAAGAGTTATGCCTCTTGGAAATATTAAATTTATTGAAAATGGCCTCGTTAGCGCTCTCACGGGCTCAATTCTTGCCAGATTTTTATAAAACTTATACTATAGGTTAATATCAGCAATATCTCGGACAAGTTTTATAATGGTGGACGATCAACTTTTTTTAAAAGAGTAATGCCCCTTTGAAATATTAAATTTATGGAAAATGGCCTCGTTAGCGCTCTCACTGGTACAGTTCTAGCCAGAT